GCATGCTGGTGGATCAAGATCTCTGAGGCTGGGTCAGGATCCTGAACTGTATATGTGCACTGTATTTTGTAAATATGTTGTAAATATGTTGTGATTCTGAGATATAATATCATCAGTAAAAACTGACGCACCTGAAGATGTGTGTGCCCTGCTGGATGTCGGTATTATGCAACATCAATAAATCCGTAGAAAGTTTTGTTGACGTTCACATGGCAAAATTCACAGCCATCAGAGGAGGACAGCCCTGACTAATGTCTGTCCTTCATCCAGTCTGGCCGGATCCCTCAGCCATCCCACGGGTAGGGCCGGGGAATGAGCTTACATCACATGATGTTTTCATTGACTCAGTGTGAGTCACTCACTCCTTAATGTGTCTACTGTTTTCAAACAGAACGTAAAGTGAATCACAGCAATGCCCGTTAAGGAAGGAAAGGGTAAAAATAGCAGGAACAAAAATATGGAGCGAGTGTTTGCCTGCGTTCTGCCCGCTCTGGCCGAGCGAGCCGCAGAGCAGCCTGAGGTTCACCTGCTCGCCCACTGAGGGAAATGCAACCCTGCCCAATTAGGTTACAATATGTGTTTATGCAGACATGACTTGGTTAGCGTACACATTTGTGGCCTTCTCTTAATTCAGAACTCCACGCTCATTCTTTCATTTAATCTATTTATTTTTTTCATTTCAATTTCCTTCGGCCGAGCGTTCATTCTTTCCTCCTTCCTCCCACCAGTTTCCTGCACGCCTTGCACGGACATGTATCTTGCTATCATATGTTCAGAATCAACTGAGTCTGATGCAGTAATTTTCCTCCCTCAAGCTTGTTCTGTGTCTCCCTCCTACTCGATTTCATTAAAACCACATTTAATTCCATCTATCGCCAGTTCAAGCACAGATGTGCCATACAGGTGAACCGTATTACTCACAGCAGTCATGCACCAGTCCCACCAGTTGACTCCCATCCTGTTTTTCCAGTTTTTGTGCGTCTGGGACTCTGGCACACTTCGCTGCTTACAAAAACATGATTCTGGCTCTCCTAACGTGCAATTTAAATATTTCTCTGGAGATAGATAGTGTGTGTTTTGTTGTTGATGTTGTTGTGCCCTGGTGTGACCAAGGAGGTGACAGGTCAGGACAGGAACTTGCAGAAAAGAGAGTGAGATAAGAAGAGGGAAAAGTACCACAAGATTATCAAAGGATTATCAATTGTCAGAGAGAAAACACTGGGGTAGCATGACTGGAACAAAACAGAGAACATCTGACAGCTTTTTTCCTCTCCGCCTCATCTCAATCACCCATCTGATCCCCTTTTGCCCGTCTCCAAATTTAAGAGCAAATTTAGAGCTGTTAACTAGCAAACCTCCAAAATCTCCAAATCCCCCTCTTAACATGCAAACAACTAAAAATATGGAGACTATGGAGAAATCCCTCTCATTCACTTTTGTTCCCCTCTCTTTGGAAAGAGATCGGAGCTGCAGCTCAGCGGTTCCACAGTTAACAGCCTAATATGACCACATCACTGAATGTGTCTGCAGACGAAGTGCCAAAAACATCCAACCACAGCAACATGTGCTTTCTCTGTCCCTGCACCATCTGACTCAGTTTCTCTCTTTCTGCTTTTTTGAACCCAAGCACCCTTCCTCTTCTTATCTCTATCGTTATGTCTATCTTAATGTTTATCTGTCTGTCTGAGCCGCACTGGTTCCTGGCATAGGCTGACCTCCTGTTTGGATTTGTTTATCATTGGTGAAGGCGGATTCTACCTCAGCTATTCACAGAGAGCTCTGGCTGAGTCAAATGTGATGGCGGTGTTACATAACTCTCAGATAGGCACTATAGGGGTATTGTGTAACTGCAATGTTAACTTTAATGTAGGTGCCTTTGGAGAGCTGTCTGATGAAGTGCGACTTATGCACGCATGCTTCAGTAGATATGATCCGTTCTTAATAGATTGGCCAGCCCACTATATATCAATTTAAATCTTGCTCCTGCTTTAAATACACCTGAGCTGAACTTGAGCAGGTGTTAACTATATGATCATACACTATATAAAAGATGCAATGTGATGCCACAGTGAATTCACCCATTAGCTCGTGGTCTCCATTGGCCCTTGGTGTCTTTTTGGAGCCAGACAAAAAGGCTGGTTAGAAGCGGCACTGCGAGCTGTACAGGTACATCAAATTAACAAAGATACCTACTGATTAGTTTGGCGTGTTCAAACAAACTGCTATAAAATACTTAAATACTAAATTTTCACCCACTGAAACTGAAGCAACAGCTTTTCGGATGGGCTGCTAGTGTAATTATCCTCACAGTAGGCCATATTCTTTACCAGATAATTGCATTAAAAATACTCCAAAAGGTGCCAATACCACAAGCCCAGTGGAGAGGTCCAGTCAAGTGGCTGCCTGTGTGGCTGAAAAATAAAGTAATTGCAGAAGTGCCAAAAAAAAGCTTCTGATTCCTAAAATGAGTCAAATCCAATTGACTCCCATGTGAAAATGTCCAACTTTAGAAAATTAATAATCTTGTTTTCAGCCTACAAAAAAGGTTTACCTGTGTGGATAGTTTGCTCCTTCACAACAACTGATTCATCTATTTGGATTCTGGATTTAGGGTCGCGGCTATTTGGACTGACAAGTCTCCCAGTGTTTAAAGATAGAGCTAATCAGTGGTGCTAAGCTGCACCTCAGCTAATCGCTGAACTGAATCTCTTTGTCACGACTGTGTTTAGTATCATGGCTGACTGCATGATGCAGACCATCACAGATTATTGTGTGTTCGTTTTGATGTGAGAAAGTGCTTCATTCATCTGTTACATAGCAACAATTTGTTTACATCTGTGTGACATGCAGCATGCTAAGCTAGCTTGCTAGCATTAGCTAATACACGAAGGGGGTGTCCAAATTCATAGGCTGCATCCTCCTGAGGCCTCATTTGTAGGCCGATTACGTCACAGCAATGCGACAAAGGCTGTCCAAATTTAAATGCAGTCAACAAATGCGTCCTCCTTTTTCCCAGATTCAAAGGCTGGGTCGGGTGTATCCTTCGTAGCCCACCATATCCCAGAATTCATAGCGTGGGCCAGCCAATTCCAGTTTCCAGCAATGGCAGCAGCTACTTAGTTTTAATATTACTCTTATTACTCTTTCTGGGTCACAAAATAAACTTTTAAGATATTTCAGGCGAGAATGTAGCTGTGTAAACGTCAAATATCTGCTCGATTTATCAAGACATCACATATTTGCAAAAGTGCTCTGACGTTTTTGGGGATGTCTGTTACCCACCAGCTCGATAGCTAGAACAGCGAACTCCTGGCACATTGTTTTCAGACCTCTTTTGCTACTCAGGTTAAACATGATATATAAGTCACTTCGATACCTTAAAAATGTCATTGTTTGGCTTTTTTTCAGTGTTTTATTTGCTCAAGAGTAAATCGGTTTGGCTGAGATCACAGCTGAATAAATGTCAAACAGAAAACTGATTAAACAGAACTGTGAGATGATCAAGTATTACGCCACTTTCCTGTTATATTTTAGATAGCAAGGAGCAGGCAGCTGAGTTTATTAAACTCCAGTGAGACAGCTGGTGACGCAAAACTGAATGCTAGACCGTCCATTTTCACAGCCGCTCACTTCCAGCCAACCCGGCTTTTGGCCCACATACACGGTGAAGACCGGGTCCTCAGGAGGATGCAGCCTATGAATTTGACACCCCCAAACATTCCAGTTTTCAAATATGGAATTTCTGTCTTCAAAACTCCAACATCGTGATGGGAAGAGAACCTTCAAAATCCAGAGTTCAAAACCAGTGGGTCACGGCACAGTTGTCCATCTTTTATATACAAGTCTGTTTGAGTGACAGAATATAATGATGCAAAACTTGAGTTTTAACAATATTAAAACAGGCAATATATAAAATAAATTAATGCACACTTGTTAGCAGGGTAAAACTGAATATAGAGACCAAGACATGTTTTCATGAACATGCTTTTTTCTGCAGTAAAGGTTAACATTTTAACACTGGAGCCACCGTCAAGTGGGCATTTGAGAAACTGCAGTTTTGGCAAATCTGTGTTGGTGTCCTTTTTCAGCAAAATGCTTTGCACCGTTTTCATAACAATGAAAGGGAACATCCATTGCATTCTTAGACAGGGGCTGAAGACAAAAACACAGTTAATTATGTTTTCTTAAAACTCAGGGTCTTTAACTTCTTCTAAATTTATGTGTGATACCTTACACTCTCGCACTAACCCAGAGCTGTGACATGTTCTCCTTCTGATGGAAAACCCCTTCCACTATTATACAATAGCTTCCTTTCATAAAATTTCCCTTGAAACATCTCCAGTCTGACTATTACTAAAGTTGTGCTTTACTTCAGTGTCACTTATTATCTGTTTACGCAGTGGGCTTCTTTTATGGTAGCGCAAAAGAGGAGTTACAGTTATTGCTGACCACAATCCTAAACGCTTCTCCTTTAAACCATTTATTTAAAATGTGCTTGGCAGCGGGAAGATTTAAAAGACCAGCACTGTCGTATGTGCTATTTCTGTGCTCTCAGAGACATATTTAGGTCACAATCTGCAACCGTTTCATGTTATGTCTGAACTTTTTTGTTATCTCTCACATCATGCAGGCATGCTGGCAAACAGTGGCAAATATTATCATGTACCTGCTATGAAGCAGCTTAGTTGTCACCGTGCCACCCTTTCCCTCGCCCTCTTCTCTGTCTCTCTGTTTACCCCCGGCTTGTTTTTCTCCAGTTCTCCTGCCATCACCACCAGCTCTGTTTATTTCGGTAAAAGCGTAGGAGTTGAGGAGAGAGTGAGCTAATACCCCGGTCTGATTAACTGGTAGAAAAAAACGGTGGGTTGGTGGGTGGGTGTGGGGTGATAGTAAGGGAAGGGAGGAGAAATTGCGAGGACTAAAAGGGAGGTGGATGGAGACAGAAAAATGAAGGGGTGGGGGGACAGAGATGAGTATAAAAAGCTTTGCCGTGAGGAATTAGGAAATGTTCCTGAGGAGAAAGTATTGAGACAGTTTCCAAAACTTCACTCCATAATTTTCCTTCAAGGTAAGTAAATTACAGCAAATGATCTCTTAAAACTCTTTGCAGGTGAAAAGTAGGAGAAGTTTTGAGTTTTGGACACAATCAGGCAAACGTAGCTTTTATTTTGTGACTATTTTTATAGTACTTTACTTTTCTTTTTTAATTTATCTGCAAATGAAAATAGAAAAGTAGGCCTGTGGCCCTTTTCTTTTTGTTAAAGAGTTTTTAATGTACACCCTCATCTTGGTTCTTTGGCTTTTTCCAATGATGTGTGCACATTCTGTCTGCAGGGAAGGAAGCTGGGACTCCTACTGAGACTCAGACAGGCATTAAACTCTGTAGACACTCTTGTCAGCACCTCACACACACACACACACACACACACAGACACACACACACACACACACACTCACACTCACTTAGCTATCTTTGCCAGTCTTTGGGAGTTGCTTTTTGAACTTTAGGCCCCAGGCTCGCTGTTTCTGTGCCCACTGTGGGTCTGGCTTACACTGCAGACAAATATGCCTGAGGGGATCATGTGTCAGTGTGTGTGTGTGCTTCTGAATGTATAATGAAAGCTGCTATTGATGGTGAAAAAGAGCGCTGCCGAAACAAGCGCTCCATCCAAATTCCACAAACAGAACGTGGGGATGAAAGCTTTTCTGCAGACATCTGGCACTGCTGTTTATACAGGTGGCACTCACCTTACCTCAGGTCTACATGTAAACACACGTTGAGTGTTTACATGTAGACACGTGCGGTGCGAGCGTACACCCCGAGCCAACCTCAACTTCATAATTCCAGTCTGTTCATTCGCTGGCTGTTAAGCAGCTCCTCGTGGCCACAGCTATTCTCTTACTGTTCTTCCTTGCAACCTGAGGTTTCATCGCGTGGTGCAGATTGGCCTCAACCTAAGGCCAGCACAGTGAAAAGACTTTTTGACTCATATCTGTGGTTTTGTGTTTGTGGGGCCAGCATGCACAGAGACTTTTTTAAATTGGTTTTTCATATATTGGTTGTTTATCTGCACAAAACCCACAGAAATGTTGTCACTTTTTACCCCAGCTTGAGGTTTTGGTCTGTTTACCCACCCTCAAAATGCAAAAAAGTGTTCTACCCCCTTCCCTTTGCCTCATTTTGTCTCATTTTTTTCTATTTTTTCCCTACTGCCTATCTAACTCTTACTTCAGCACTTCCACGACTTACCAAAAATACTTGTCTGCTTTGTTTCCAGCAGGCAGGCAGGCAGACAAACAAACCCCAGGATGAGGAGCCTTCTTCGTCTTCTGGCACTCTGTGCTGCAGTCTCTCTCTGCATCTGCTATGGTATAGATCCTCCCAGACGCCCTCACTTTGCTATCGCTCGGCAGCCATTATTTATTCATAACCAGCAATATAACAAAGTGAAATAAGACATTCATCATTTATGATTAACCCGATTCCATGTTTTTCCCGTAGACTCTCATGAAAGCACAGAATCCGCTGAAGGTGATTGAAATGTTGTTTCTCGGTTCTGGAAAAACATGCATGCCATTCTAACAAATGTGATGTATTTAATCCTCATTTAGTCTTTACTAACACGCCCTCAGCCCTTGTTTCACCTGATCCGCTGCATGACCGGCATGCCAGATGCTGATTGAAATAAAATTTTCTCACTAGTAAAGTTTTGTGGTTTCAGATTTGTTTGTGCCTCCAAACCGAGCCAACTCATTCATTCCACCACAGAGAGGCAACATATATATCCCATCCAGAGGGAATGGCTTCGGCAGTTACAACTTCAGGAGGTAAAACCTAAAACCATGGCAGGCATGCAATGCAGAGCACTTTATCTCCTGCATGTTTAAAACCACAAACCCACAGAAAATGCATGCTTTCCATACATATAGGGCACTGTGCCTCATTAAGACAAACCCTAATTGGACCATTAAACATCTACATGTGCTTCAAGAATCCACGGACACAAACACAGAGCCTGGAGTGGAGGATAAAAGAGAATTTTTAAATTCATTTCTGTTTAGAGTTCCTCTACTTTTCTTCATCTTGAAAACCTTCTTGTTTTAATTCCCAGGACATTCAAGTCTCCAGCAGAAAGACGCGCAGAGATCTGCGAGGACTACTCCCCCTGCCGCTTCTATGCCTATCGCTACGGCGCCCAGCATGCCTACAACAGATACTTTGGCGCTAGAAGTCAACCACGGCGGCCTGCTGTGACTCGCCGATACTAAGCTGGACCTCACATGCAAAAGTCTCATTATCATCTGGTCCTTTAGTCCACATATCATCAGTCTTTAGATAATTTATGTAATTGTTTTTGTGGGCTCTTTTGGCAAGAAAACTGTTTTTATATATAAACACCAGAACTTCCAGTCAATGTGGCTCAAATCCCACAGCAGCCCATCATTATACTCATGTAGAAATTTACAGCCTGTTTCTTGTGTAATCTCAGGATGACTTTTATCAAGTATCACTGCATGATCCCAGCATTTATGAGATTTACGGGATACGCTCGAGTGAAGCGTTTGGCTCACTTTCCGCTAACCAATTCTTACAATCTCCACTTACTTATGCTGTCAATAAACAAATAAAATGACTTTTCATGGGTTTGGTCTTAATCCTGTTTTTGCAGTTTTCTTGCCACATGAGTTTGTGAGAACTTTGGGGATTCTCAGAGTTTTTTTTAATATATGCCAGATGTTATATGTAATATAACAATATTTGGGAGTGCTTAAGAAGCATTAGGGAAGTTAAATACGGCCTTGTGCATAAATATGAGACACATTACAAGAATAACAGTCTATAAATACTGGAAACCACTTGGTTATTCTAGTATTTATCACATGGTTTAGAGATAAAATGTAAATCTAGTGAGTTCTTCTATAAAACAAAGTACAGTAATGTAGTGGAGCAGAAGTACATAGTGCAGTAAAATGGGAAGGTGAAAATGGTACAAGTATCTAAAAAGCTCTACAGAAGCTGACTGAATGTGTTGTTACACAACTGACTTGTTGAGGAGTTACATTATGATTTTCAGTATGCACAGTCAGTGTCTGGTCTCTTGCAGTCTTACGAAGAATGTACTGCACATGTGCAGACAGACACAAGGACAGCTCAGCACATGGCAGATGTCAAAATGCTGTAGAAGTAAAATGAGAGTTACACTGGATGTTTGTCTGTCTGTGCTGCCACATGGCCACGAAAGTGTATAATTATAATTGTCCTGAGGGTAAATCCTTGTAGTCTGTCACTGAAACGAGACAAAAGGCACCAGCACTGACCCAGACTGTGAAATTACAACCCATATGCTCTACTACTGTCCGGACCGGTCCAGCTTCGAAATCTCTAGTTAGAAATGGCAACAAAGGGCATCCATGTCACAAAGTGAACTTAAAAAGCTCAGCTTTGAAAATAGAAATGATATGTTTGTGTTACTGGGACGGTATTCAGTAGAGCATTGACATTATGATTTCTAGTACACCATTAAACTACCATGTGATCGCTAACCTTGGAGGAAATCCAGGGTACCACAACTAGATCTCTTAAAACAGCTGTTACAGCTGGAGGCACAACACGGTCCTTACAAAAATGTGCAAGTGGACACAGACAGCCTACAGAGGGTCAAAGCCAAGAAACAACAGATCAATGTCGTCCTTTCTAAACTTGTGAGTGGAAAAATGCGAGTTGACCTGAGGAGGACAGAAAGACCTCTGCGACCTTCCTCTGATTAAACTTGATTCTACGGTCCTGAAGCACAAAAAAATCTTAATAACTGAACTTGAAATGACCTGGGAGGGCGGGTTAGTTATCGCTCACCACCTGAAGAAAGCCAAATACCAAGATTTGATCAACAAGGCTCTAGTTCACGAATGGAAAACAGCTGCCATTGTTTCCAAAGGATGTGAAAAACAACCACATTGCTGATAAGTTACTGAAGTGCAAGCTCCGTTTAATTTTTCAGTTAAATTCAGTCAACTACTATCGTTTCTGCAGCAGTCGTGGTAAGTCGTATGACTGAG